AAATTTCGGAAAGGCAGAAGGATACAATCCGCCACTTAATTACTCATAACGTTAATTTTAACAACAAATCTTTGGGTTCGAATCTTAGCAAAAAGGAAAATGAGTCTTACGTGAAATTCATTCTGATACTAATATCATTATCTCTAAAGCTGATAAGGGCGGACAGATCGTTGTTATGGACAAACCACACATATATTACTGGAGTCTCTAAACTCATAAATGAAGGCCCATACTGCTCGATCCTAAAGATGCTTCAACTTCGGACCTCACGAAAGTTAAAAGTGCTATCAAATCTTTCATATTCTGCCAACTCAGTTGAAGAAATCACTTATTCCCCTATTACTAATTGCGCTAGGCTTTATGCTCTTCCAAAAGTCCACAAAACCGGATTCCTTTCGACCATTGTTTCCACATAGGTACTGCTTCATATTCTTTGGCCAAATATTTAGTTTCCAGATCTTCTCGTCTACTTGCTAACAATATTCACATTGTAAAAAATTCTGTTGAAGTCATTGATAAACTTAGAAATATTTCTCCACTTCGTTCCATTATGGTTTCATTTGATGTCAAATCACTGTTTACTAATGTTCCGGTCGAAGGAGCACTAAATTGTCTTGAAACTAGGCTTCGGGAATTTCACTTCACACATACTGAAATTAATGAGTTGGTTTCGCTTACCAAAATGCATATTTTTGTCAAGTTGAAGGATTGGCTATGGGTAATCCTCTCAGTCCGGTACTTGCTGACATTTATATGCACTATTTTGAGATGAAATTATTTGATAAACTATCTTTTCGTCTTTGGATTCGATATGTTGACGACACTTTCGCCCTTTTTGACGGTTATAAAGATTTATCGAGATTCTATCTATTATGAATTCAATTGATCCAGCCATCCAATTCACTGTTGAAATTGAATCCAACAATTCTCTCCCCTTCCTTGATATTCTTATAATCCGCAAGGGCCCACCAGCGGCCGAGCGGTAAAGTCGCTGAACACTGGTAGTTCGGTCCGAGGTTCGAATCCCGCGAACGGGCTGGCTGCATGGGCGTTTTCGTGGTTTTTCCCATGTGTAACGTGTATACGAGCCAGTTCCCTTAGAAAGTCCTCCACGAAGGCATCCCTCCCCTTAGGCAGATAGCCCTCGAGGCTTTGCCATAATTACACACACACACACTTATAATTTGCAATGAAACTGATTTTAGCACTACTGTGTACCGTAAAACCTTTGCAGTTTGTTTACCACCCCATGCCAAGTCATGCCACCCTGTTAAGCAAAAAATGGCTTATTTTTACTATTATGTTTTCCGCGCGCTTAAAGTTTGTTCCTCTGAATCTTTGCTTACCAATGAACTGAATTATTTGAGAGCAGTTGCGATTGACCGTGGATTTTCTCCCGTGATTTTTGATAAAGCCGTTAAAAAATTTTCAGATTCCCATCAAAGAAGACATTCCACTGTTAGAAATAATATATAATGACTTGTCGTGTGCTTCCATTTTATCCTTCTGTTAGCTATAAAATTGCACGGATTCTCCAGAAATTCAATTTTCAAGTCGGTTTCTCCCCTATTAATAAAATTCACCCTTCGATTCTAAAAGATTGCGTTTCTGTCTTGAATTCTTGGGGAATTTATAGTATATCATGTCAATGTGGTTTAAGATATATTGGCCAAACAAAAAGAGCGTTGAAGTTTCGTATCAAGGAACATGAATCTTATGTCAGAAAAGGCGAAATTAACAAGTCTTCAATAGCGTATCATAGTTGGACATTTAACCATAATTCTGACTTCGGGTCTGCAAAAATTATCCAAAAGGCTTCTTCCATAGGTGAATTGGATTTTCTTGAGGCTTTTCATATTCAAAGATTTAGCAGGTTTAGTTAATGATTTGAAGTCCAATCCAGTCCTTCCTAATGCCTTTAAAATTCTACTGTCTTAATTCAATTATTTTTGTCGATAGATGGCGTTACCTCCTCGCGTTTGGTACTACCAGAGGGTATAAAAATCCGTTCAGTGGTTGCTTTCCATTATTCGAAGTTCAGATTTTGAGCGTGAAGGAGCAGTTGCCCCTCGCTCCCTAGTTTTAACTTCGCTAATTTTTTCTTCTCCTTTGTGTTACATGTTTGATCAGATAGCCTGGCTCAGTAAAAGTAGGCGGCCAGTGTAACTCTCATTAAAAATCCGGTTATAACCACGTGCAGTGCTGATAAGGACCACGTGTTTCTGAGACTTCTTCTACTTAATTTTCTTCTTTCTATGTTTTCTTTCTGATGAGGAGGGACCTTTAGCTGCCCTCGAAATCGATTGAGTGTTTCAATATAATTACGCTAAATACAAGGTTGATTTTACGATTTTGATTGTCACATTAGCGTGTTTCTCTTCTAGTCTGGTTAGTAAGATATTTATTTCCCGTTTGTGTCAATTGTGTTGAAACTTCGAACAGTATTTTGTTCAATTGTAATCTAGTCGAATACTATAACGAAGCAGCGAATCGATTTATCTGCTAATCTAACTCGGAGTCGAAATATTTCTTTTGTTATTATTTTAATTACATTACTACAAGAATTAGAATATCAAAAACTATGTTAGATTTTACTATTTGGGTTTTGTTTTGTATGCCACAGTAAGCAATAAAAGAGGCGACAGCTCGGCAACCCTCAAACTTGTTTTCTAAAGGTCAGTTTCTGAAGGTGCACATTGGTTTATGTATTTACAGCAAAGCCTTAAGGGCTACCTGCCTTCTTGGAGGACTTTCTAAGGGAAGCTGGCTCGTGTACACGTTACACCTGGGGAAAGCCCCGGCAATGCCCATGCAGCCAGCCTGTTCGCGGGATTCCAACGTCGGACCGAACTACCAGTGTTCAGCGACTTTACCGCTCGACCGCTGGTAGTCTCGTAAATATACAGAACAAGCAGGTTTAGTTAATGGAGAATAGATGTTTTTGAATATTAAAGACTACCCAACCACTATTATATTTTTTAATAATATCTTTAGTTATTCTGCACCTACATAGATACAGAATTATGTAAATTAATTAAACCATAATTAATATTTTCCTAAACGGAATTTTTGCTATAAAGGGATTATATATATATAAACATAGATTTTAATTCTATAGAAACGTCTCACATATAGTACTGAAACAGTTTTTATAATTCTATGAAATTTCGTAACTGGAAGCATGTGTGTATGGTCAATACAGTAAAGTCTTTTATCATTAAACAAAGGAAGCCCCTTGTTATGTTTTCCCAGCTATCTCCCCTCAACATATTTCGGTTTTATCTATAAAGCCTACTTATAAGAAAATATACTAATAGTTATAAAATAATTATAAGAAATCAATATTGTTGTAATATATAACAATATTTATAGAATAATTATGATAATATTTCAAGGGAATTTTCCATCATAGGAGTTTCTAGAGTAATTAGAAATCACATATCTCATGTATTGAGAAATTTAGTCAACCTAAATTTCTCAGTACATGTCTGTTTCAGGCAGCCTAAATCATGCAGGGTTATTTTTACGAACTTTATTGTTCGCACAGCATCTTCGAAAATGATGGTAAATTGAGACGAAATCATTCACTATTTAAAGGTTTCTGAACTTATGGGATCAGAACAGTACAGTTTATGATGGTAGTTTTTTGTGTGATAGATTACTGTTAAGAACTATTTATTATCATGTTAAATTTTAAGCACCAATTCAATCTCTCCTGTGTTCTTTTCCTGCACGCCTTCTATGGTTAGCATATCTATCCCCAGCTAGAGTGCAGTTAATTTTTCACGTTTTTTATTTGAAAATTCTTTAGACTGGCGTCCGAACTAAGCTTTGATAAATTATATCTAGTCACCATCTCATTTTAGGCTAATAGAACTTCTCACTTGCTATATAATAGGGGAAGAATACAAGGAATTACCGCATCCTCCCGTACGTACTCTTGATATAAAAGACTGGTACTAAGGCTAGTGAACACTTTTGTTAGTATATTTATGTATCCGTTGGTTGTTCGGTTTTCGGCCAGAGCGCAGCTGATTTTCATGTTTCCAACTGGTTTTGTAACTCAAATTATGAAAATGTACTTTTCTGTCAAAATATTAAATTTCATCCTATTTCGAAACATAAAAAATTTTGAAGTCTTTTAACCAGTTTCAATTATTTCAATTAAATAAGAATTTTGCGTAAAGAAGTTTTAAAAAGTGCTTTTAGGGAAACATTTAAATATAAATAGATATATCTCTGTTTATCTCTTGAATGCTTTTAAGCAAACATTTATATATAGATACATATAAATAGATACATCTCTGGTTATTTGTTGAATACTTTTTGAGAAAACGTTTAAATACAAATAGATACGTCTCTGTTTATTTGTTGAATGCTTTTGAGGAAACATTTAAATATGAATAGATACGTCTCTGTATATATGTTGAATGCTTTTGAGAAACCATTTAAATGTAAATAGATACATCACTGTATAATTGTTGAACTTAAACCAGCATGTCAAATTTACTTTTCATACTTTCATGTATGATAAAGTGATCGAAATGTAACAATTACAAGCTTTGAGAAGTAAAACATAATACACAAATTATAATTATTTATCATAAATAAAAGCTTCGCGTGTGAGAAACAACTCTACCAGAATTCTCTGTTATGTTTTTCATAACAGAGGATTCTGTGTTAATGTCTTTTCCTAAATTTTAACCGCAGCAAGAGTTTTCTTCTTTTTTTCATCTAAACGTATTCGAAATTATATTAAATATATCTATTAAATCTAGAAAATGAACTTCATTTCTAATTCTTCCAATAAACCTCAAAACTATTTATCCCGCACAAAAGAACGAAAATCATATATCTATAATTCCACCCATTCATTATGCTTTTCGATATAATTTCTAGCTATTAATGAAACTAGCAGCAGATGAAATTAAAGTACCTAAGAATACATTTCTGTAAGACATAATTATAACTTTCAACACATAAAGGAAGAGAAAACTTACCAGGCGAAACGAAGATAGCTCTTTCGCTAGAACAGCAATCAAAATAAGGCACAGAAAATACCGCATCTTTTGTGTCTTTTCAGCTCTTCTCTAACAATTCTGCAAGAGAATTTTAAGGTTTAAATAAAGCTCTCTGAAGTACGAAAATCTTCATTTAAGTAGTCTTAAGTCCAGAAGGGTATCAGGGATTATGAAATAATTAATTTCATATCTGCCTCAGCTTAAAATTTCCTTTTGGTTTCTAAGACGTTGCTTAAATATTTTGCCTTACTGTTACCTGCAATAAATTTTAAATATTCATGTTTAAGTTTTTGAAATACGATGTAATCATGCTGCATGAATTATTTACTATATTTTCTGTTTAGTAAGAAATCCAGCAACATGCGTATAGGTTCTTTACGACTTTCTACTAACTATAATTACATAAAGTTATTCAGTGTGCTTGACACTAAACATAGCTTTTAAATACTTTTTCAAGTAAGAATTTTCTGTCTTTTCGACAGAATCTGTGCAAATTATCATTATTCCGATATATAAAATATAAGCTGTATTGCTCCATATATTGAGCAATATGTTGAATAGTATTGAGCAATATTGCTCAATACTATTCCCGCAACTAAAATGTTTCCTTACGTTTTATTTCAATATGAAAATTAATAATTATCCTGTGTCATGTTTTTATACTTTTTTCCTTCAACTACGACGCTCTGTATATGTTGTTGCTAATGCTCACTTGCCTGACCTATAGTCAATCCAAGCTCATGAAATTTGTTCACGTTCACGTGAACAAACAAAAAACTGCTAAAAATGTTTCAAATTTTTATATTGTTTTGTATTATAAATATTTATATTATTTAGTTTAAATTTTACATTCAAGCAAGGTATGTGTCAAACAAATTTTTATATTGTTTTGTATCATAAATATTTATATTATTTAACTTAAATTTTTGAAGGTATTTGCGAATGAAACCTTTTTACAGAAATGTTAATAATTAATTTTGAGAAAGGGCAGTCAATGGCCAAATGCATAGAACTGCGAGATCTGTGTGGATTCCAAATGCGCAAATAGTGGTTTCGTGGTTTCTTCTACGTTTAACGTAAATACGAACCATTTCCCAAAGTTCAGGACGAAAGCTTCTTTAATTAGACAATCCACGTAGGTTGCTTTTATTAATCAAATTTTGGGAGTTAAAATCTCTAACCTTTAGCTAAATATAGCGAAAATGAGACTTTATTTCCCTAGAATAAAAAAATGCAAATTATTGTCAAGAAACAAATAAATGAATAGAAATTAAAAGCCGAATATAAAATAATTTAATTATAATCCTAAGTCGAATAAAATATCCTATACGTTCGTGCTGCCACCGCATTTTATGTATTCAACAGCTCAATAGAACAGCTTCAGCAGCTCATTTTACATTTTTCCCAAGTGCAAATTTTTGTAATTTGCATATCTTCTCTTTAGACACATCTGTGATAACTTAAAGGACAATATATATATATATATATGAATAAAAGATATATTATAATAAATAAATGATATAAAGAATACTAAAAGATAAGTAAATGTTAAATGAATAAAAGAATTATACTGTGAATAAATAATAAATAAAAGATAATTAATGAATAAAAGAACTAAACTGTGAATAAATAATGAATAAAAGATAATTAAATGTTATATGTATCAAATTGTTAAGTATGTCACAACTTTGATTTATCCTCTTCAAAAGCGGAAGAAACACATACATTCAACTGTCTGTTTTGACTATTAAAAGTATTATTTAAACAATATTGTTACATCATCGTAGTTTGCACGCGCATACCAATAAACAAACAGATGTACAAACACTAAATGACACTCGTGCGTCTCAGAACAGAAACTTAAAAAACAAAAATGCTTGCTTTGAGATTACATGGATCAATATTTTTCCCTTATAAAGGATGTCCCAAAAATTCAAGCAAGAAATAATTTTCATAGAAAACACAGATTTATAACAAAAAATTGCAAATTTTTTATTGATTCATAAAGTAAACAGTATAGGGTTATCTTTGGAACAGCACGTCGGGTCTTTGCTGGCTCATACGCACTCTTTTGTTGAAACTTTCCATGACCGTTTCGCATAAATGTCGTTAAATTTTGGTGTCACGGCACTGAATTTCCTCTTTCAAGGCGTGGGTAGTCGTGGGCTTGTTGACATGTACCTTCAAAAATCACCAAAGAAAATCGTCCAACAGCGTTAAATCGCATGATCTTAGAGGCCAATTCTGATTACGAAAACGGGAAATTAGACAACCAGGAAATGTTTCATGCAGTAATTAAATTGTTTCTAGAGCTGTGTGGCTATGGCCTGTAATAGCGTCTTGTTGAAACCACATGTCGTCCACATCCATATCCTGCAATTTAGACACAAAAATAGATTATCACGTCACGATAGCGAGCGCCATTAACCGTTATTGCTCGACCAGTCGCATTTCCGAAGAAGAATGGCACTATGATGCCTTCAGCCCCAAATCTCCACCAAACAGTGACATTTTGTGGATGCGTCTGTTTCTCAAAAATCACTTGTGTATTTTCTGAACCCCTTGTGTCTCTCAACTAAGCATGAAGACGAAGATGATCCTCATTGCAAAGATGATCTCGTTCCAAAACTCTGCAGCCACTTGTTGCTGTTCCATAATCTATTCAAAGTACGCTTTTCTTCGCGTATGTTGAATGGATTATGGAACAGAACATGTGGCTGCTGACACATGGCTGGAACAGCAACAAGTGGAATAGATTATGGAACAGCAACAAGTGGTGAATAGGCTTTAGTTCTTGTGTCAATTGAACTATATAAGGATGAATATGCAAATCTTTCGTGGGAATGCGCTGCAGACAGCTTCTCGAAATGTCCATCTCTTTACATTGCCGAACTGATGTCCCTGGACTCTTAGCAACACTCTCACGAACGGCTTCGAAGTTTTGCGTTGAAGGACTTGTTGAAGAATGGTCAAAGTATTTAAGATCACTAATTGATCCGCTCTTCCTAACGTTTTTAAATAATCGCTTCACAGTTAATGAAGTTAAATCACTATTCGGATCATATTTTGTACGAAAATTTACGAACGTTTTCAAATAATTCCTTCACAGTTAATGAAGTTAAATCACTATTCGGATCATATTTTGTACGAAAGATAGCTGCCAAACTTTCATTATTTTTGAAATACTGCTCAACATTGAAAATGTGCAGAGTACATTCTTTCGTGCAGAGCTCCGTTTTTAATAACCCTGAACTGTCATATTTCAGTACGCAAAATTCAGATCGTGCGTGAATTTTGGGACACCCTTTATTCCTTGAAAATCAAGGCCCAGACATTACCTGAGTATGGACATCAAAGGAGAGTCTGCGGTAAATTTTACATTAAATTAATTATATTATTTTATATAGTAATTAGATATTCATTTAATTTAATACATACATTTTCTTTGAATAACATACGCTAAATATAATGACGAATTTCTACACCTTTAAATTAACAGTTACTATATTTACAACAATTTCAACAGCACTTTCGGTAACACTTTCCTGTGTAAATTAATGATTATTTTATGGAAATCATGGAACATTTTATTTTATTTTCTCATTAATAACTTATTTATTCCCTTACTATTCGACATAGCCTTAAAAATGAAATAATTCATTAACAGATTATTTTTTACTCATTAATAAATAATTTCTTCATATAAAATTGATTTAAAGCATGCAAAGAGTACAACTTACTTACCAGATAGACTATTACAAGACCAGAGATTACAAGACCAGAGAAAATATTTCCTGCTCAAATCCTTCAGAAAACAAGTTTCGTATAACAAGTTTCGTATACGTATATATATAACTGAATGTAGGTTCTGCAAAGAATGTGTTTGAAATGGTCATAAAGTTAAACACGCTTATGCAACACTTTTTTGTCGGTTGAGTCAGGAGAGAAAATCAGTTTCTCAGGTAATATTTACCAAAGAGTACGAATGCTTTTACTTCCTGTCGAAAACTGGTGACTTAGCCGATTTGACTTTCGCTTATTCATGATCCTTTGCCGTAGACGAGCACAAACAGGAAAGCCTACTAACCCATATCTAGCTTTTGAGTAGATAAAATTAAAATTAATGCTACTTCTAAACGAAATCCTGTATCAGTTTGAGGACTTAAATTTTACTTTTTAGTTCTTTAGCTTCCTAGTGTCACTACGCGTTACTTTTCGTATCCATTCAAGTCTGTCGATATTCAATCAAAACTTGCAGAATCATTATCACCTATTATTTGAACCTTTGTTTCATTAAAATATTTATCTTACTTAATATATATATAAACTATATAAGCTTGGGCTTTTTATTTCCTCGTAAGAAGTAAAGGAATTATTATAATCTCGAAAAATTTTAAGCATCGTATTTCAACAAAAAAAAATATCCATTTTGATCACTCTCGATTACATTTGAACGATGTCTTTGCGTTACATTTGTATGTATGTATAGAATAGAGGACTGTTTTTCCGAAAACCGATAGTGAAATGGGTTTAAAATTGAACTCAGAAGAGATTTCTTCGTGACTGTATACGTACGTACGTATGTATATATCTCGCAGAACTCAAAAAAGAGTAATTTCAGAAGTTTGAAATTTTGTATATGAGACTGCTATAGCATGCAGATGTGCACGTCCCTTTTCCGTTGCAATCAGCAGGCATTAAAAGTATATATACATATTTATATATATACGCACTCTGTTACACTGCTTGGTGAGCTAAGTTGGCTTGATTCTTATAAGTTGGTAAACTGTGCATTTTTTGCTTTAAAAGTGATTGAATTACATTGTTTTTATCTTTCGGTTGAGGTTTACATAAACAGCATGCAATACTTGTAAAATTATCAACAATTTAAAAGTGGCGCTAGGCCTAACGAGACCGCCGTTTGTTTACATTTGAAATTTTTAATAGAATAGTGAATTAAGTCACCTGGTGCGCTAACTTCAGGGTCTTTTTCCTCGGTGGGACCAAAACTTAGCTTTCAGTTTTCTGCATCGAAAATATTGTTTTTCTTCCCGCTGGCCGAACTGCTTGTTTTTCCATAGAAACTCTAATTTTAAGTCTAGAAAGCATTTCTTTGGGATGCATTTGGTATATAGCCGGTGTTGTTGAGGTTTGAGCGATGCCAGCTTCTGCAATTCTCTAATATATTTTAATCGAAAACAGTTCGCTGTGTATTCGAGAAGAAGAGTAGCTGAAAAAAAAATTACAGAAAAATTTGGAGACGAATGTAAAAGTGTATTATTTTTTAATATATCATGTAACCCTTATTTAAAAATTACAATTTTTATTTATAGTACTGAATAATCGCTGACGATTCATTCGTTGATAATGTTTGGCGACTTGAAATAATAACCGATATTTTCGAAATCTTTGCCAAAAATGTCACGAAAACAACCAATTTGCACTTGATAAGTAACTTTTACTTTTCCATAAGTAAAAAATCGCCAAATTTCGCCAGGATGGCTGCGATAATACGTAAGTACCCATGATTTTTTTTCCTGAGGTATTATCCGAACACCCTCATTAAATTTCGCAACACTGCAGTTAGTTAATTAGTTTAGAAGAGAATTAAACCAATACAAAATTCAAAATTAGGCTAAAAATAAACCTTAGTGTGGCATAGTTAAATAACTATCGAATTCAAAGTAATCAGGCACACGTCCATCTTTCTTCGGAATAAAATCAAACTCTATGGCAATCTACGCTTAATAAGTTTTGCGCTTTTTGCCTAATTTTAAATGCAACAAATCGTTTAGTGACATGGTTTATTTTAATTTACAGATTACTTCTTAAAACTTATTTATCTAACGAGTCAGGAAGACGTTTCAACCCTCAGTAATAATCAAAAGAAAATTTTATGAAAGATGTTTAAATCTTTGCTTGGAAAAGAATCGTTTCGCCGCCCAGTATCGCTGACTGGTTAGCGTAGCTGACTGCCGTGCCGAAGGGTCTGGGTTTGAATCCTGGAGAAGGCATGGATGTTTATAAATGAATAATGTCCGTGAGGAATGAGGGGTACTCTAAATATGCGGCAAGCAGTACGTCCTCTCGAGAGGGCGATAGTAGGAGACCCTCCGATCCGTCCCCTTGTGATGCTCTCCATTAAAATCGGGGCGGAACTGAACTAAATCGCATTTAAATTGCTCAAGTATGTTGCCAATGGCAGGGGTAAACTTCGGCTGCATGCCACGAAGAATTTCGTGAATATATCTGACTATAGGTCAGAGAAGTTAGCATTAGCATAACAATAACAAGAATCGTTTCAGAATCTAGTGTATTTTTCATACTTTTACCGAAGGTCAGTAATATCCATTATTGTTTGAATCGTATCCTGGATTATCTTATAAGATTGCTTCTGCGTTGTAGGGATTTATGTTTATTTTGTATAACCAGTTAAGTTTATACCTTCTTTCCTATAAGCCTTCATTCCCTAAATTTTCAATGCTAGAACGTTTAAATTTGGTAGCGCGTGTAAAGAAATACGAATTCTACCTTTAGGAGAAAAGTTTTAAATATTTGGCTCTAGAAGGGAAAGAGAGAGAGAGTAAGTAAGCATTGTACCTTTGTAGCGTCAGCTTCTGGTTCTGCATTTATTGCTGGTTAAAATGGCGTAACAGCTACAACTTTGCTGCCACTAGTCTTCGACAGGGTTTTAGATAACAGAATTATCTGAGACATGGGGAAATTCTACTGTTGTGTTAATGTCTTGTTAGTTGAGTTACCGCCCGAGCGTGGCGTAATTTGTTAGCGTCAAGTTGACGCATTGTGAATTCGTAGAGTTTCTTAAATGGTACTGCTGAACCGCTACTCTTAGTATGCTCAGCATGCCCTGCCGGTACACTCCGCGTACCGGCAGGGCACTTATAGCTTTCGACCTGGCTTCGAGAACATTCTGGGGTACACCGATAAGAATTCGCCCTAGAATGTTCTCTCTCCTTCTATCTCTACGGCAAATCGCCAATTTTGTCTCGAAATCTGGTAACTTTGCCCCTACCCAAGTTTTGTAAAAATCGCATAAGTAGTTTTTATAAAATTAGCTTTCAAAATTTTAGCTCCTCAATATTCATTGAATTTGGTGTATATTTATTAATATCTCTTTTTTTTATTAAACTTACTTGATTCCTTCTTCATGAATTCAAAATTTAGGTTTAATCCAAATATAATTCGCCTATTTTTTAATTTATTTTTTAAATTTGTATTTTTAAATATTTTTTATAAATTTTTCGAAACAAATTTTTTATTATGACCTGCAAAACTTTTAACATCATTCTTAAAGTAGATGGATTTCTAGGCACACCTGCAAAAATTTGGAATTTCTTATGCAAATTTGCCTATATACGTGAATTTGCATTTTGGCGCGTTTTGAAATTTGTTGCATTTAATCTAAGCGATAATAACGAAAATGTGGTCAATAATAAGGAAATGTGGTCAATCAAAAAAAATCAAAGATATGAATATTTTTTCAGATTATCAGGAAGAAAGTCAGTAAGACGTAAAGCAGAAATGGGCTTAAAAACAAAACGTAAATAAGTTCTGTTAGCAACAAAGAGTATATATATTAACAGAAAACTTTTATTAGAGATTTTTCAAAGATAAACAAGGAGCAACAGTATTTCTCTTGGCTCAAATAACACTCCAAATAACTTGCCGTCTTTAATTTTATTCCTATTTATTGGTTTCTTTTGCACACTAGCGAAAGCTACTTTTGCTGCTATAGGTTCCTATATAAATGACTTTTCCTCTGGGAATTCTGTTTTTTAATCTAATATTTGGTCCGTCTTATTGTTCTTGAGCTCAAAGAAATGCTAATGACACAGTTCGTATCTGAGTACCACAGATGAAATTCTTCTGCACTTTAAGGTTTAAAATAGTTTTTTCTCTATCCATCAGTAGATATTTTGCAACTTTGATCTTTTCCAATTTTTTTTTTAAAGACGTCACCTTATAAAGTAAACTAAGCAAATTTTGTATTCATGACAACTAAATCTCCAATTTTTTTTTCTATATCCTGAATGAAAAGACCGGATTCGGGTAGTATAACATTCTTATTTCTTTTCATATACGCTCAAGGGAACGTTTTGATTTGTTTACTTACTTATTCTTTATTATATTTATTTTAATTTTCTGTAATTACTAAAAGTATTATTGTAATGAGACGCAAATAATATTAATTCCTTGGATTATTAAAAAAAACTGATGCTGACACCACATGACTTCCTTGTACGGTATATCGAATTATTTTCATTTAATCTTACTTCCTCCAAATTCATTACAGACATATTTCTCAATCAATTAATTCAGTTCTCATTTCGTAGCAAGGCAAAAATACATAAAACCTCAAAATACCTTCTTTAAAAAGTGAAAAATATAAAAAACCATAAAATACCAAACACAAAGTTAAAACATTTATAAAAATAATTTTTACATTAAAATAAGAGTTTCTATGCAAAAGCAAACAATTCGACCAGCAGGCAAAAATGCAGATATTTCGGTGCACAAGAACTGAAGGTTTACTTTTGGTGTCATTCTGCAAAAAGACACTGACGGTGCAAAAACTGAATTCACAATTCTGATAAGTTCAAATCTAAACAAACGTGGCTGCTATGGAACAATAAATTAGGCTTAGCTGCACTTAAGCAATTTTTAAATTGTTGATAATTCTACAACTATTGCATGCGAATTAACTAAAGTCACAAAACCCTTAGCCGGAAGATAAGAACAACATGTTTCAATCATTTTGAAAGAAAACAATGCAAAATTTACCAACATATAAGGGAAAAAAAGGAGCTTCCTTTACTTCGTACAAGGAAGTTAAAAGGTTTCAGAAATAGTTTGGTATATTTAAGGTCAAAAGATTCAGTTAAATTTTTAAGACCTTGCACCTGCAATTCCGTTGTATGT